CTCTTATACAAACATCACAGAGGAGCGCTTAATATTATTTTACGAATGATCCGAATGATTCGAATGATCCGAATGATCCGAATGATTCGTTTGATCCGATTGATTCGTTCATAGTTTTGACGGCTTCGCTTAGTTTAAATGATGAGTTATAAAGTTTTTTCTCGTTCTTTTATATACTGCTGAACTGCAAAACAAAACGGTGAATAGCGACTAACCGTTTCTCGCGGCGCGAGAAAAATAAGTCGCGATCAGATTTAAAATATTTTTAAGATTTTATCGCGATCGCGCCACGACAGCAAGAGTCGATAACGATCGCGCCGCGACAGCGTGAAGCAATCGCGATCGCGTCGCGAATAGCGCGAAACCGTAGCGATCGCTTCGCGACATAGCGACCGCGCCGCGAATGAGGCGGGACAGTGGACCTGGGATGGTTATAGAATTAATTGAACTAATACCTTTAAGTACCAAGGGTATTGGGTTACAACAAGATTAGGTTGGGGTTGTATGATTGCTAAGACTAAAGCTACGATTAGGAAACAGATGGCTATAATTGGTTCCTGTCGTGTCTTCGGTTCGACGAGTAACTATTTTAGGCGTGTCTTATTCACTACGTTTGTTCTCCCTATATTTACGTGGCTTTTTGCTATCTTTCACCTATTCACGCCTTGTTAACAACAGGACCTGACGCATTTTTATTACACCTGCCTTAAAAGGATTTATCATGTTACACAATTAAACGATATTCTCTTTTCTCATTACTATGATGAAATTTCGTTAGAGGATAGATGTGCTAAGTATTGGAAAAGGTTTATGGATGCACTACTTGTTTCTGTAGATGGTGATATACTGATGGAGCCAGCTTTCTTAAATGTGTTTAGAAAACAATGGCTCAGTAAGAATTATAGTATTAAAAAAATTTGTCGTTCTAAACCATTTATAGCACACGAGGCTGTATTTGTCAGATGTGCTCAGTGGCTAGAAAACAGTATCGAATGTTCGCCACCTGACTTAGACGAGGATGATCTTGAACTACTTGAATTTTGCACTGAATCTTTTTTATAGTTCAATTGTCAGATATATGTAGCGTGTTTCTTTTCTATAAGTTTTCTTTTTCTTTTTTATATTGTGTGTTCTATTTTTAAAATGTACTAATTAATTTACACAAATTTTCATGGTACTTTATTGTATTTTGTCTTAATAGGCCCACAAAGGGCAGTAATAAAGCATATATATATATAATATTTACATAAAAATTGCATTAGACAAACTTGCTCGGCGCTCGATTATAATAAAAGCATCTACTTATATGTCGTTCTACAGTTTAGAAAAGATTGACTTTAGATTTGTTGTCTTTAGTCGTCACTTTAGTTTCGTTGTTTTTTTCTTTGTTCATCTCTTTTGCACTAAAACTAGGCATTTCAACTGGATATATGTGATTAAATTTTGTATAATCCACTCGATATTGTCCGAAATTTTTTTCAAATGCTATTAGACGATCAAATCTAAAACCCCAAATAACTTCCAATGGTAAATAGGAAACCCGTGCATGAGTTGTCATTCCAGTTGCTTCGACCACTCCTTCTAGCAATACAACAATTTCAAAACGTTCTTTCGCCAAATCATCTTTGCTAATATTCCAAAGTGGTGATTGTTCGTTAATAATATGTTGGATAATCAACGGTTGAATTAAAAATACACGATCCGTACCACTATCATATCCAACATTCATATCATAAGTATTTAGAGGAATTTCTTCACCTTCTTTTGTTACACGTTTTTTGATCATATACATTCGAACATGTGCTTCAACAAGAAACGATTTTCTCATATCACCTACTCGACATTGAAATGTGTATAAACCATCTCTTAGACATACAACAGCTTGATGTGACCACATTAACGTTTCAGCACGCAGTCTTGGGCGAGATATTTTTACAAACACAAGACCAACCACAAAACTTTGTATCATTACACCAACGCTCGATTGTACCATAAGTAAAAGTACGCCAAAATGACAATCTTCGTTTACTGAACGAGTACCATAGCCAATAGTCTGTTGTGTTTCAATCGAAAATAGAACAATAGCAGCAAATGAATGTACTCCTACGACGCAACTTGTATAATTTAAATTTTTTAAATGGTCTAATTTCAACTCTCCATTAACTGCCATTACTGTCCACCACATAGCGGCAAATACTAGCCAACTTATCACAAAACTCAGTGTAAAAAAACAAAGTGTCCAGTGCCATGGAAGATCAATCAGCGTGGTGAATATATCGTGTAAATAATGACTGGTACGTTTTTCTATTTTATATCTAAATAAAATACATGACAAACTCTTAGAAGAGAAGTCCACGAAGAATGTTAAGAAGAGTTGTAGCCGTTTCCGAAATAAAATATACCAAAAATTCATAAACGTTTTAATAAGTTATAAAACTTTTAATACACATGACCGTTTACAATGTGCTCTATCTGACAGAGATGCGATCGGTTCACGTGGTTTTGAAACCGACGCGATTCCACCTCTGCCATCTAATGAGGGAACCTCCTCAAACTTTTTTGTTTTCTGACTGGGGTAGTTTTTCATCCTGATTAAGAATCGGATAACTCTTGGTGGTATTAGACCTTTCTTAGATGGGTCTCCAAAAACCTAGCTTCTGGAGAACGATCACGGACTTCCAGCTGACCTACAATATTAGATTGTAGACGATGTGGAAGAATTTTCACAATTACGCAGCATGTTTTCACAGAGTCAGAAAAGTTATATCGTAAGGAAAGCTAAAACGTTCAGGTTTTCCATTGAATTAAGAAGTGAACTACGGATAAGTCAGATTTTCTAAGGATGACACACTTTTAGTTCAAATAATTTCAAACGCATTCTACTATAGGAAAAACTACATTTGGTAATGATGGAGAGTGAAAGTTGCAAGAACGTTTTGTAGCTACGTTTGGTATTTTAATTTTTTTCTCGGCCAGACTCAATCACAACAGTTCTTGTTTTTATGTTTTTTGAAGTATATACTATTTGTTCTTTCCAACGCAAAAGAATTAACTCTTCTCTACATTGGAAACATGAAGACATATACACATCAGGAAATTTGTAAAAGTTCTGGATGCATTTAAACGCGTCAATTGAAAAATTTGAATCCATGGCAGATGCACCTCGGACAGATGCTCCACCGACAGTTGCTGCCGCGCCACTTGCTCCCCGAACAGTTGCTCCCGTGGTACTTGCTTTCGTGGCTTCTTTCCTACAGCTCTTGGTTAAAATTTCGAGCAATCAAAAACCAATTAGAAAAGCACTGAAACTAGATAAAGACCTCTGTCCCACCTTCGCCCTCACTCTCACTCTCGCCCTCACCCTCAAGTGTCACTGGGGAGCCAGTGTTGCGGGAGCAGCTGCCTGGGGAGCAAGTGGCGAGGCAGCAGCTGACCGGGGAGCAAATGTCGCTGGGGAGCAAGTGTCGTCGGGAAGCAACTGTCGTGAGAGCATCTGTCCGGAGAGCAAGTGGCGCTGGGGAGCAACTATCCGGGGAGCAACTGTCGGGAGAGCATCTGTCTGGGGTGCATCTGTCGTGTTACCGAAAAATTTATCATTACCACGCGTTTTTCCCTTAGACAACGTCGAACCTTTTTAACGCATTGAAAACGTTTGTAGTTTCAACGCATTTAAACGCGTTTATTTTTACAAGTTTTGCATTTAAAATCGTGATTTATGGCGCGTTGAAACCGTTTTCCGCGTTTTTTCAACGTGTCGTAGGCAGTTTTAAATGTTTTTTTTCGAAAAATAAACACGTTGGAACTACAAACGTTTTCAATGCGTTAAAAAAGTTCGACGTTGTCTAGGGGAAAAACGCGTGGTAATGATAAATTTTTTAACTGACGTTTAAACGCGTCCAAAACTTTTGCAAATTTCCTGCTGTGTAACGCTCGACATTTTTGCAATTACTTCTGCACCTTTTGTTAATCTCCTCTCTAATGCACGATATGATGCATAAAACTTCACTTTTATTGGGACAGTCAGTAATGCATGATAAACTATTAAAAAAGCGCTTTTAATCCATTCATGTTTTAACCTTCCATGTGTGATAACGCGTTAAATTCTAATGAGTTAAAAGAACATAACTAATGAACTTGTGTTAGAGAGATCTGTACAGGCTAAGAAAACGTGACTCGACCCGACAAAAAGAAATTTCTATCGAAAAGAATAATTACACTGCAGTCCTTTACCTTTTTCTATATTTTAATTTACAGCATCTTACTTCAGGATAGCTACAGTTATCTGTACTAACGAGCTAAGGCATAAAGGATTCCAGTTTTACGTGTGAGTATTTCGATTTGAGGGAAAGTTAACCCCATTCTGTAACCTGATCCTGTTGCAGCGCTCTATTATGTTATGTATGAAAAATTTTGCAAGCATTGGCAATAGTTAATTCTTTTAAAGGATGTTAACACATTAAATTTTTTTACTGTGTCGGAACTCATTGGTTACTTAAAAGTTCAATTGCCACATACCTTGATGCGCTAAAATGTAACATATTAACATGCATTAAATGAATTTACGAATGCTAATACATTAGATTTTAAAACTTGTAAATAATACATGTTAATACATTATAATAAATATCAAAGGTGTAACAATATTCTATTGTAGCAAATCGAGGCATTATTCCAAAGACCAACCTTCCCTCGATGTGTAAAAGCTTGATAGTGCTAACAGTATACTTTACCTTCGTATATTCACGTCACCATTTTCCAGTAATACTCTTTTTTGTAAATTTTCAGTTGTGTCCAAATGTTTGAAATTAAGCAAATTCAAAACTTTTACCCCGGTAACAACTAACCTAAAACAACGAAATGATTTAGCAGAAACGCAAAGGAATACGCTTTCCATTGTCTGTAAAAGAAAAGAATAGACTCGGTTGTTTTTTTGATAACGTTTGATAAAAAGGAGCTGCGGTTTTCGCCTTTCTAAAGGGGAGACTTGAGCGTATCTTTTTATAAGCAAGATTAATTTAAAAATATTCCGCTTATTAATCTCAATATAACTTGGTTTCCAGCAGAATTTCTAGAACAAACAAGCACTGCCATAGGACTCAATGTAGTTGATTACCTATATTTCATTCCATTCAGAGGTTACCAAACGCTACTAGATACGAGTCCTAAAGAAAACATTTTGGGCTATCTACTCATGAAAAATAGTCAGTGGATTTCTCTTGCTTGCACTACGATCTGCTTTTCCAGGGATCCCCCGAAAAACCTATTTTATAAGAATGTTTTTAAATTAATCTTGCTTATGAAAAGATGTGGGCAAATCTCCTCTTTCTAATGGCGAAATGATGAAATAGGTGTAGAAGCACTTTTTGACATTGGGACTCATCTCGTTTTCCGAACACCAAGAAAGAATGTTATCTATCTCTTTTTGTACAGACTTCTCTTTGAATGGAGTCAGATCAGTGCGAGAAAAGTGTAGAACAACATATAAGTCGTCTGCAAATCCCTGAGCAAATATGATATCTCGTCCCAGGCAACCTTTTTCTGCGACAAAAGCGCGTTAGAGTGTGTTTAAATTTTCATAGAAATTAACGCGTTTAGCAGATACAGCTACCGAGGAAGCGACAAATTTAAGATCATTTATAAAAATCAAGAATAAAATAGGGCCAAGTATCGAACCTTGGGGCACTCCAGAGCTCACATGAATTAGGTTTGAAAGAACACTGTCGATCTTAACATACTGGAATCGATCGCCTATATAAGAGGTAAACCATTGATGGAGTTGACCATTTATTCCTACAGACTCTAGTTTTTTCAACAGAGTACTATCTGACACCTTGTCAAAGGCTTTGCAGCGATCCTTCTCATTTAGGTTATCGTATAATGATTTTGTTACATGTTGTTAATATTCGTGCATTTTGCGTTAGACAGGACAGGATTCAATAGGGCTACATTATATTTCTATTGACTAGCTATTTAGCTATTTTTTCATGTCTTTCCATTTTTGGTAAATAAAGTTCAAGTTTAATAATCGTTTGCAGACATCGCGTACAAAGCGTCTTCAGCGGGCTAGTTTTGTAAACCTGAGGCACTGCCAAGTATGTCACTTCAAGTCGTCTTCTTTATCGCTCAATATACTATCATATCTAAAGTTTATTTTAGCGGTTGAAAAAGATCTTTCCGTTCTTCCTTTTCTGATGGAAATTGGAACAATAGTTGATAATTCATGATGTCATGCCGTTACCAAAAGACCTTTTTTAAATTTTCATCCAAGTTATTTAGTATATTTCTGCTAACAAAGTGATGGTTCATAGACAACTTCTGACGGGGTATCTAACCCACTAACTTTTATTGTGAAGGAATTCCTTGTTGAGGAAATTTTGGTAACGCCGTGACAGAATGTTAATAAAATACAGTTTTTCTACCAGCAATGGTGTTTTCTCAAACCAGCTCAAATTATACATCAATCGATGCAGAATTTCACGCTTGTTCCGAATATGATTAAACTATTTGATTTGGGCGCACAGCAACCGAACAAATTAAGGAAAACTCGAAATGTTCGGAAAATACCCGATAATAATTTCATCAAAACTCAATAAAAACACGATCAGAATTAACTTTTATCAAAATGAGTCGTAGCCACTTATCTACTATACAATTCTACGCAAACAGTACAGGTTCCTCTATCAAGCACTGCTGTCGGTCACTACTTTCCATACACTTCTCTATTTTCACAACAATACAAGTGGGAAGAGCCAGGATACATGTAGTCCCTAGCACATAGCCGTTAAACACTTAAAAAAATTAATAATAATACATTTGAATGTCGATATTATGCATTGTGTCATAAGAAAAAAATAATAAAATATGACTGAGTACAGGATTTCTTTTCTTTCTTCTCTTTATTTTAGTTTAATTTTTAGGCGTGTTTACTGTTTTTGTTTGTGTTATCTTTAAGAGTGTAGCTTTTATTGTATGTGTGAGAGTGTGCGTGTTTAGATGTTTTACGCTGATAAAAGGCAGAAAAATAGTCATATTTCCCTGTACAGGGTCGTTGATTAAGAAAAAAAATTAAAAAACTAAAAAGAAACACAAAAACTCAAAAAACCTTTGCTAAAAAACAAAATAGATAAACCCGGCTCACGGAGGCCGGGTCTTCGTCCCAAACCGGAGAAACGCTAGCAACACCTC